AGTGAGAAGCTAAATCGGATTAAAAACCTGAATAGGAATATTTCGGTCCTTTAAGTCGCATACATTCCTGTTCAGTTTTTGCTGCAGCTGGACCTCGTCAGTGTGACGGTTGCAGCAAAAATAACTGTTTTTGGAATGTTAAAATTGCTGGCGTATTGATAGATGCCTCACCAAGAGTTGAACATTGCTCTGGGCTCCGGGAAGTGAAGATGGTTAACAGGGAAAGATAAGGCAGCGAGCTTTTGTAAACACAGAGCCATCCACACTGACCTCGCACCGCCTGATGTCGCACTCACAAGTTATACCTTCTTCGGAAAGGATCTTCTCGCCATCAGTGATCCACTGCTTTTCGATCAATCGGCTAACTACCGAAATAAGCCAGATGCGTTTCGATTTGGGAGTTCCAGAACTTTTGTTTGTTAGCAGCGAGTTTTACAGCATCTTGATAGATCTAAAAATAGTCAAGTAGACCATGAAAATACCATTTCCTTGTCTCATTCGATTAAGCTTGAGCGGTTTGCAGTCCACTAACTGACTTGCTAGCGGCTAAACTCAATCGAATACTTTGGGAATGGCCTTATATACCTGAATGTGCAAATCTACCTTGACCTTACTACCCCCGCGCTTCTTGTTTTTGTGTTTGTGTGATCAGAAGTGAACGTCTCAATATCTGTTCTCTTGTTCCTAGCTTACGGCACGAGCAGCCACCTCCGCCGCAACAGTTTGAGTCCGGTACTACTGCGATGCGAAAGAGCTTGGACGGGCTTGCTGTTGCAAAATCTGTCGACGAGACGGCGAGCAAAGAGGTTCAGGAAGATCGAACTCAGGATTCATCCGCCGAACGTACGCAGCCGTCCGTGGCAAGGTCTCGTTATTCCGTATGCTTGTACATTGCAGCTTATTTTCATCTAATTCTCTGTAATTTTTTACTGTTTTTTTTTTCATTTTTATAATTTTCGTTTGTTTTTTGTTTTTTTTTGGCACATGCATGTACTACGTGTACTTTTGGCGCACAAATCCCAGCACACTTTCGCTACTGTCATTTTTGTATGCTTGCTACTGTTGGTGTTCTCGCCCGTTTTCGGTTAATTTCTTGAATTTTTTAACGCTTTTGACAGTGGTGTTTGGTCTAAGATGATACCGTAACTTAGGGGATTTTTTATTTCGAGGGAACGAGGAGGGCTGGGGGCGGGGGGGGGGGGGGTTGATTACCTGTTGGATTTGGTAGAAATTGGGTTCCATGGCCTGAAGAACACCTGCATGAATGCACAGATATGGCTGCTTTGTCAGGCTGTGTTCGAAGCTCTGCGCGGAATTAATTCATTTCGGTGAACGGGGAATTCTATCTAAGCGGATCTTCGGACTGGGTCTTCCGAAGGGATTTCTCGCTCATGTACGATACTTGGTGGTTATGATAGGTTAAAAAAAATTTAGACAGGTTTCCTTTTTTCCTTTTTTTTGAC